CTGTCTCGGTCAAACAGACGGTCATTGGAAGTTGTCAAGAAAAACAACATACCAGCAGCTAATTTCTTTCCCCGTGAAAAATGAATAGAACAGTCTTTAGTTGGAGGGTTCTGGTCTAAATCCATTTCCCTGTGAACTCATGAGTTCAGTTCAGGATTCACAGCATGTACTCAATCATAGCTGTTTGCAGGGGTCCTGGTAAATCCCCTCGGGCACAAATTTATTCCTCAAGGTCATTTAACTGACACAAATACCCACTTGTTTATATTGTAGGAAAGAAAACAAAAAATGTACCCCATAATTTTTATTCCTATGATTTATATAAAACATTATTTAGATTATTAATTTATATAACTTTTGTTTTTATGCCATGAAAATTGTATCCACATCTGGACGATAGTAGTTACCACTTGGGTGATCTTTAGGCTACATATGTTATAGTTACAATAAAACAAATTAATAAGAACAAAATATTCATATTAGATTAAAATATCTTAAAGTCAATTTAGGCAGTGGACAACCAGATGGCAAATGTTTGTTAAAAGTCTCCTTTTTTTTATCTTGTCCCTCCTTTTTTCCCCTTTTCCTCTTTGTAGCTTCAGGGAAGGCAGAAAGCCTGCTGAGGCAGTAAAATATGTTGGGTAATGTTTTGCTAGGAAACAAGAGTCCCCGGCGGTCATGTGGACATTACTTTAAGCTCTTCTAGCTGAGCGCTGCTGCTTATAAAGTACGAGCCATTACTCCCTGACAGGCATCGTCTAAAGCAGGATAATCAGCCCTTCACATCTCTGATGAATACTTGCTTAAGGTGTTTAATTCCTCTGAAGGATGCTCTGAACCAACATGCCAGTTTTACCCAATGCTTATAGTGCCTTGCAATAGTATTCCCACTTGTTCTTACATTGGAACCATTCATTTAATGTATGTGATGGCCGAGGAATCTACCAGACAGCTGGGTTTATATAATACAGAGCAGTTTAGCTCAAACTCTATTAATGTGTTGGAACGGTCTAGTCAAAGTCCAAATTGAGAATCTGTGACATGCATGAAACAGAGTTAAACTGGAGGCAAATGCATGTTCACTCAATTTTTCTCTAAAAGTGTTTTGATGCCTGTGTTGTTAGTTAGGTTGGTTCGCAACCTGTAGTTGGAGCGCTGATGTTTTAAGGCAACATCTTCCTAAGCACATTCCAAGCCAGAGGTGTAACCTATTGTGGTTAAATAGGTGGGAAGTGGCGGTGTAGTGGTTAGAGTATAGGGCTTGGAATCCTGAGGTTCTGAGTTCTGAGCCGCACAATTACAACCCACTGCTCCCCAAGGGGGATGGGAGGGGATGGGTTAAATGCAGAAGGTTCATTTCGTTGCTTTGTACTTGTTACACTGTAATGAAAATAAAAAGCTGGAGAAAAAAAGGAAAAAAGCAATCACTAAACAGAGGTGGAGAATTGTAGTGTCAGCTGGGAAGCATCTACAGTTTGGTCCTGGCACTCATTTCAAAGAGGCACACTCATATACTCACCTACCCTTTCTCTGTTCAATTCAATTATGTTTATTCTATAGCGCCAATTCACAACACATTACAGTTAAGATCATACAGTCATGATTCAAAGTTTTCTATCTTAGGAAAACCAGTTGATTGCATC